ATTACCCGTGTTACCCGTGGCCAGGGAAATACAAAGATTCAAGTTGTTAAAATATACTGAGAATAACGGCGACCGTTGATAGCTGCACGACTCAGTCGTCGCTTCAGTCGAAGTAAACCAGCTCCGCTGCCGAGCCATTGGTTCGTTTTTTAAGCACTGCACGAACCAATGGCCGTGCAGTTTCACTGCGTGAATGAAAAGGCTTCAGTTCAGGAGAAAAAAGGCTTTTTTTTCCCATATGCGTCTTAAGCAAGACGCAGTACTTGTTCCCGTATCTCAGGGAACCGAGGTTACGTTAGTAACCGAGTACGTTTTTATTGTACATGCACTGCAGTTGCTAGCATGTGCATGCACGTACACACACACACACACACACACACACACAAACACATGCAATGCTCAAAGCCCTTTTAATGAAAATTATTCACAGACTGCCATAATGTACATAATGACTCATAGCTGTAATAATGTACAGCAAAGTGAAGCATACACAGGCCTGGGGCCAATCTGTGATTCAAGGGACAGATGGGTGTGTCCCACAATCATTCTTTTCTTGTTTATTGTCCATTATTCTGCAAAGGACATAAGAATATGATACTGCCCAGATAAAAAGAGTAAAGGCTCAGTTTAGTGTGAATGTATAAGTGCTGGATGTGATAGGAGCCTGTGATAGGAGAAAGAAAGAAAGAAAGAAAGAAAGAAAGAAAGAAAGAAGGAAAAATAATATTTTTGTCTTGTTTTTATGTACAAATATATAAACATCCTTAAAAACAAAAATCTTGTTTTGTAAATCCTAAAAATGCAATACATAATCTAAGACTGAACCAACACTGAATCAATCTTAATGACATACATACCAAGACCAACCAATACCAAAAAAGCAACTTTTCATGCCTCTTTAGTGATTTTTCCCCCCAAATTGTATCCAGTTTCTGTCACTGCCCCATGAGTGTGAGATTTTGCTTTCCTGCAGCAGTTCAGCTGTAGTTTCCAACTGTAACACATGAGACAGATCAATTGAGATTCACTAACTGTTGTTTTAGATGAGCTATAGTGGGACATCAGCTTTAAATAACACAGAGGTAAAGATGCAACATTATGCAAAAACATAAACAGACAGTGGTTTACCACTGCTGTGCACATCTTGTTATAAAACATGACAAGAATAAGGAGAATCTACCTATGAACATATGCACCATTATAAGTGGGGATTACGTAAACCACTATTGTTTTTATATAAAGCTATTGTAATTACACTTACAGTAAACCAACCCAAATAAATAAACAGTCCCACACAGTTCATGTTAAAACAATTTTAAGTTACAATAGTCTACATAAAATAAAAAATAAAAAATAGATAGATAAAAATGAAATAAATTCACAAACAAACAATTTAACACCAGGTTATTATGTAACCATGAGAAATTAAAACACAAGTACCCACAATCTCCCACAAGGCAGCATTTGCTGACACTGTGACTCATATGCGTTATGAGAGCACTTGGACAAGACGTTGAATCCACAATTCCACACATAACAGAGACACACCTTAGATCCAGATAGACACACACACCCTTGAAACAAACACTCAACACTTCACAATTTCTGGAAAGACTAGTGTTTTTCCTAAGGAACAGTTAGTCACTAGCCTGCATGCATGTTTGTGTGTGGGTGTGTATGTATATGTGCTGGCAACGGCCCTTACATTAGTAATTCTTCTGATGAAAACACAGGTTGTTTCTCAGGGTGTGATATAACAGACTTGTCCTTTCATGTCTGCAGGTTGTCCCCGTACAAGCCGCCAAACACGCGACCGTATGCTGCACTATGCATTCCATAACGGCCAAACTCTATCAAACAAACAAATCACGCAGGGCCTCCGGAATGCTAGCACTCTCAAATAACAGGATTAGTTCAGATGAGCTACTGCAAGGAATTACACCAATCAGACGAGACCCTCCATCCAACAGTTTATTTCACCCTTCACAGCTAATATCCTCAATGAACATGACATTCTTTAGAAAAATAATCACAGCAGCTATTTTTCTACACAAACCAAATGACTGCACTTAGGAAAGAGCAGTTAAAAGACTGTAAAGTTAATTATGCACAGTGATTTCCTGCATCAACGCCTGTAATTAGTTTGGGAAATATGCCAGTTGGGAAAAACACCTCTAATCTATTCCTCCAGTCTTAAGGCCTTATCCAGATTAGAGCAGCACAATGATTTAGATTTTTTCCTTTCCAAAACTGTATGCATTCTGGTATGCATGAACAACAAATGCTTCTATGAATGACCTGGTAACATCAGAAGCACCTTTTATTATGGGTGCATAAGGTTAACAATATAAACCTATGCACTGGGTGTGACACTCAAATATTCACATTTCACATTAACCACTGTGTTGAAGAGATAGGTTGTTGGTGATTACATGAATGAACAATATAATGTTTTTTCACTCAATAAGAAAAAGTTGTGCCTTGGTCTGAAGATGATCTGAGTTGAATTTGGTGATGAACAGGCCAGTGGTCTAGGAGGAGTTAGGAAAAGTAGGTTTGCACAGTGAAATCAAAATGGCAGTATGGACAATTATGACATAATTAGGATCACATTCTCGGCATGATCTTAGAATTTGTTCATGCATTATTCGAGAATGGTTTGACTAATCAACTCGAGTTCTAATAAGCTAAACTCAGATTTTTTTTTTTTTTGGTCAGCATGGTCATTTAAAATGAGAGATAATTTTCATGATCACAAAACACCACATAGGGTGCAATCGAATTGTCCTTGAACCAAGGAAACACTGGTTTCTAGCCCTTACAGTTCAAACAAAAGTTATTAACATACACATGAGTGCAAATTTGGATAGTTGGTGAGTCTTTATGTTATGTTATGTTATGTTGTGTTTTGTTCTGTTCTGTTCTGTTATGAATATACCGAAATTCTTCCGCTTGAAGATTATCAGGAAAACAGAGAGAGGGTCTCTGTAACCTGCAAGAGGAGGTTAATCTTTATTTTCTTGCACTCTTTTCGCCTCCTTTCTCTCTCTCCTCTACAAATAGTTTCCTCTGACGCACACGCAAACACACACCCATGGCCGTCCTCTTGCCCCATCTGCAATTATCAACAGAGTGTTTCACTTCTCTAGGTTGAAGGCAGCTCTTTCCAGGACAGAGTGTGACTCAGACGCTACAGAGGTAAGACACACTGCTGCATTTGCATTTCACATTCACATCAAAACTGCGGGTAACTCAAAGTCAAGGGTTTTGATCACTTTGTGTCACAACGACACAGGGGACAGGCATAACTGTACAGAATCATAATTGAAAGTAAACACTGGATTAAGAATACAGCAAACAATTTCCCAACAAAGTTACAACATACGCTGAATTATGGTAATGGACATTTATTATGCTTTTTAGTCAGTATTTAGATTTTTTTTAGACTTTTGCAGTTAGTTTCCTTCACTGTCTTCTATTTAGTCAAGGCAAAGTCCTGCTTACCGATCTTCAAAATGGGTTTATGACAGGGAAGGTAAAGTTCAAAATAAACACATTTCAGGAACACATTTTAAATATGACTATGAAAAAATGTGTTTGCCAAAAAAAAACTTGTTTCTGTATGCTAGTGAGAAAGCAGAATGGAATAAGGGTTTACCTGTGCAGTGTTAAAGTGACAGGATAAAAGGGTGTAACATACCCTGAGCTCCATAACAGACTAAAGAAATACAATACGACAATACAAATTCTGTCATGGATTCAAGAATAAGAACAATAGATCACCTTTTTACATGCTTATTAAGCCTAAAGCCTCAGACATACTTTCTGAATTAACAGTTAAACTGTAACTTTTGAAACAAACTGTATACAAACGTATATAGAATAGAATAAAACAATTTGACACTGTCAAATGTTAACAGAACATGTTTGTTTTTAATGTAATGAACTACACTTGGATGCTTGTGGTTCACCCAAAAATGTAAATTCTGTCATGATTTACTCACCCTCAGTTTCTTCCAAACCTGTATGAATTTCTTTCTTATGCAAAAAAAAAAGCTATTTTGAAGAATAAAAAAAATTTAAAATGACGTGTGGCCAAGTATGGTGTCCCATACTTGGAATTTGTGCTCTGCATTTAACCCATCCAAGTGCAACACACACAGCAATGAGAAGTGAACAAACATGCACACACACCGTGAACACAAACCCGGAGCAGTGGGCAGCCAATGCTGCGGAGCCCGGGGAGCAGTTGGGGGTTCGGTGCCTTGCTCAAGGGTCTCACCTCAGTCGTGGTATTGAAGGTGGAGAGAGCACTGGTTATTCACTCTACAATCTACAATCCCTGGCTGACCTGAGACTCGAACCCACGAACTTCGTGAAATAAAGTCAATGGGGACCAGCAATGGTGTGGATACCAACTTTCTTCAAATATCTTCTTTTGTGTTCAGCAGAAGAAAGAAATTCATACAGGTTTGGAACAACTTGAGGGTAAGTAAATGAAGACAGAATTTTCAGTTTTGGGTGAATTATCCATTTAAATTCATATATTGTCTGCTGATGTTTGCATTAAATATTTATTTAGCAACTGCAACAATGCAAAATTCAAATACAATCCAAATAAAGTATATGCATTTTGTCATAAAAATGCTTTAGTAGTGTATCAGTCTATTGGAATATTATGAAGTTTAAATGTGCAGTAACATTTTAAATGTCAGCAAAACAAAAGAAGATTAATGTTCGGAAATTTTGTACAGCCCCAAAAAAAAAAATGTTGATGTGGATGAATATGTTGTTATTCATCAGAATTTCAAAAACAGGAGCCAAAAGCTTTCCACAAGAGGAAAAAGTTCCATCCTAAACAGCGGCTTTTCTGGAAGAAACGTGCAGTTCATAATTAATCACTAGGACGTTTTTGAATAGTTTTTGACTGATGTTTTAAACATTTGGAATGTAATTCCAACTTTCTGATTCTTTTTAAGTAGCATAGAAAAATTAATTGACATGGTAAATATGAATAGACAATAAACAAGTACAAAAAGCAGGCAATCTGCTTCAGCTATAGATCTTTTAACAGCTGGTTTGCTTTTCACCCAGAAAGACAAAATCAGCTCCACTCAGTGCCCCTATTAAACAAGCATGTGTTTAACAGATTGGCAGGTACACTCAGTGTTATGTGGAACTCCACATGAGCAGCTGGCAAAAGTCAAAGATGTGTGGTTTAGAAATGCAAACAATGAGAAAGACCAGAAGTGAGCATTTCTAGACCTTCACCTAAAACAGTTCAGGGTTAAATAAACTCCCCTTCAATTCAGACAAACTATAGCAAAGCTACTAAGTTTACAATACGTCCAAAGCTCAAGTGCCACAAAGCTGCCCATACACTTTTATTTACTTTAAATGATTTCATAAGCTACTGTATATGGTGAAATAGACAACAACACTGCAAGCTGCTTGAATGATTCGGTCAGCCAAGCTGCACATGCGTGCACAGAGTTTTCAGTTTCTGTGTTGAGTTGTGTATGATCTCAAACAAGAACCTCCGGACCACTAAGTGAGAATGACGATATGGAAGAAATTACTAAGTAACATTCAAGATAAAGTTAGTCAGAACAAAGCACAGATGTCGCATTGAATCAGCAATCGAATGAAAGAGTAAATTAAAAAGATAAAGCATGCACAGACATCTAAAATGAAATCATTTTGTAGTTGTTTGGCTGTGCAGAGTCTAACAACATTATGCAGACATTATTATAGACAGATGTGAATTTTAAGGTGCTGAATCTTATTAAGATAACCTACAAGTCCCATAATTCATGATATTTGCTAATTTGCTAAATAAATGCCCATTCCCATGAAAACAAGTTTGTAATGCAGAAAAACACAAGTGACATTTTTTTTCTACAATAAAAATAACCTAAACTGAATGCAGATCAAATATATTGTATTAGATTGTACATTTTTATAATAAAATATTATTTTGCTTCAATATATTTATATATTTTCTACAATTGGTAAAAAAAAAAAAAATGTTTTGACGAATTGCTTTTGTTCCTTCAAGTTGCTTTGGATAACATCTGCTAAACACACAAATGTAAAATGTAAAAACCATTTTGCCCTCTCAGAGTCTAAAACAAACATAAAGAAGTAGGAAAGATCCTACTTCTATTTCAGAGTTTTTGTAACTGTAAAGGATGTTTAAAGCCATTCTTGTTGGAAACAAATGGATGTGAGCAATTTTTTTACTTACACAGAAGACGCTTTTTAGCTCTAACACAACAAAATGAAAGGCACATTCGGTGTGTAACAGATTCTTTAGAAGACATTTTTTGTCACACAAGTCAGTAGACCAGCTAAATAAGCAGCTATAGCTAGTCATCATCAACTGCATACAAACTAAACTAAACCATCAAAATTCATAATTAAAACTTTCTTAAACAAATACCAAGGAACCAAGGAAACACTGATTTCTAGCCCTTACGTTTCAAACAAAAGTTATTAACATACACGAGTGCAAATTTGGATAGTTGGCGGCACTACGGTGATTGAGTTAGAGACTCCAAAATTGATGTGGTTAATGTTCAGACTGCCCTCTATTTGTGTGCCAATTTTCACAACTTTGTTACCATACAGTTGCTTCTGCCAAACCAAAATGACACTATCTCAGAAAGTAGGGGGCTAGGAGAAAATTGCTCAACATCGTAGTGCCGTTCATAATCTCGTAAAATCAAATTATTCTGACATGGCTTGAAGGCAGCACATGTCCAATTGCAAAGCAAAGTTAGTTAATGATCTTTTTTCTTTTTTTTTTTTACATTTTACACAAGAAAAAAATTGCAAAAACTGTACCTTTAGGAGGTACAAGGGGATGCAGCAATAACTTTAAAGGGACAACTTTACCTAATCTCAAGATGCATATTACCTTAGAGTAGATCAGCGGTTTTACCACTAAATAGAAATAGATTTGGAATGACCAGCAATATTGTGGCTGATCCGAATAATGTCCTGAATAATTAACATACATTTCTACCATCAAACCAAAGATAAAGAATTCCACAATTTATTAAGGTTAAACTGAATAATTTTAGCTGGTGAAAAATACATGAAAAATATGTTTTTACATTTTACAAGAGAATACTATTTCAGTCTTTTTACTTCAAAATGTCATGTTTAATTCAATGTATTTTTTTTGCAATTATTTGTAAAAATTTACTAGCAATATCGGAGTTAATTTTTTTCAGTGTACAATTTTTGCTTTTTTTTCTGAGCGTAAAAAAACCCCCCACTGAAATCTAGCATCATTAATGTTTACATTTCTTTCTCTCTTTAGATCATGATGAGTGTCCTTTTGGATTACGAACATGACTATCATTATCATGACCATGACAATAGTTCCAACCACAGTGACTATGATGACAAGGATTTTGCAGACTTCCACACAGTCTGCGACAAACAAGAGGTCCGGTCTTTCGCTGGGGTCTTTTTGCCAGTCGTCTACACCCTAGCATTGATCCTGGGCCTGGCAGGAAACTCGCTGGTCATCTTAGTTTACCTTTCCCACAAACGCTTACGGACGCTGACGGACGTTTTCATCCTTAACCTGGCGTTCGCAGACCTCCTCCTGCTCCTCACACTGCCCTTCTGGGCTGCGGATGCAGTGAATGGCTGGGAGATTGGCACAGCTGCCTGCAAGATCACTTCAGCTCTCTACACCACTAACTTCAGCTGTAGCATGCTGCTGCTGGCCTGCATTAGCATAGACCGCTATCGTGCGCTAGCCAGAGGCTCCACCACCGCCAACGCCCCAGCCAGGAGCAACGCCCGCAGGCAGAGGATAATCATGTGCCTCATGGTTTGGGGACTTGCCATTGTCCTCGGATTGCCAGATATGGTGTTCTACACAGTGAAGAAGCAGCACTCGAGTGGGCGTAATGCCTGCCGGGCAGTTTACCCACACAGTATGGCGCGGGCAGCTAAAGCAACTCTGGAAATTCTGGAAGTGTCTCTGAGCTTTCTTCTGCCTTTCCTGGTGATGATGTTCTGTTATTGCAGGGTTGGAATTGTGTTGGGTCAAGCCGCAACAGCGGGCGTACGTGGTGGAAGGAGATGGCGGGCATTTCGGGTTTTGATAGCAGTAGTAGGTGTGTTTCTGTTGACCCAGCTCCCCTATAATGTGGTAAAATTAGTCAGAGCCCTGGATGTGATCTACATTTTAGTGACAGAATGTGAGGTGAGCAAAAACCTGGACCGGGCCAATCAAATCACTGAAAGTCTGGCCCTCACGCATTGCTGCCTGAATCCTGTGCTCTATGTCTTTATTGGCTCATCCTTCAAAATGCACGTTCTGAAGCTTGTCAAGCGCTGCGGGCAGACAGGAAGAGGGTACCGCCATGGCAATGAACAGCCCACTGTCGAGATCTCCCTTAAGTCAGGCACACAAACTCACACTCACTCTTCGTCGGACAATGAAGACACGAGTACGTTCACCATATGACACCGCAATAACTTCAACAATGAGGACTGCCAACTATATTCCAGTACATTATTTTAAAAATTAAAGTTTTTAAGTAACTTTGACAATAACAGTCGTGTACAAAGTTAATTAAGTTTGAAGTATAATTCAGTTTTGATGTGATCGCTAGCGTATGCGTATAAAGTTGAACACGTTTCTTCTTTTTTTTTTGTTAACTTACATGAACACAGGCACTAAACACAAATTCACTAGAAAGTTTAATTTGTGTTCAGTGTCCGCACTATTTCCAGTCATTTAAACTAGAGTTGCAGGTTTCTTTTAACCCCTCTCAAATAGGGATGGGTCACAATTTTCAAATATTCGATTAGTTAATTTAATTATAAAATATCAAATAGGTTGTGCGATTATGGTTTAAAAAAGTCCCCATGTTTGCGAGAGAAAGTATTGAAATATATTTTTTCCTCCCATCTCGTATTTATTCCCTTTAGGGGCTCCATTTTTTAATGGAAATGACCTAGCCTTATGAGCAGTTGATTTATGCTAATCGACGGACTGTTATGTTAATAAGTGCCGTCATTCAGTTATGTTTATTATATTACATTTTTCAGCATGCTACCATCATTATATGGCTTGAGTTAAGATAGCCTATCTTCTAATGAATTAAACTGTTTATTATACAGATTGAAAGCATGAATGGTCTCTCTCCCTCTCTCTCTGTTTATGGCTGTGTAGCCTATACGTGCGTGTGTGCATGCGGGAAAGGGGTGCGATTTCCGAATAATAATTTAATAATTCACAGCGATCTTCGAATATTATTTTTGCTTGAAATGCCCATCCCTACTCTCAAAAGTTCTCATCAATAATGGCATATATTATTATTGTTACTGCCGTCGCCATTATTTTTCAACTGTAAAACAAAAGGCTGGGCCAGTGTTGCCAACTATGAAAAAAACATTAAGGTGCATGTATGAGCTAAGTATTCAGAGTATGTGTGGTTAGAAAAATCTGGCTGAACATACAGTATGCATGTACTATGCTGCTGATGCAATTTACACCACACACACTGTACGCATACTCTAGCACACATGTAAAAATCTAAGTATACTTTGGCCTTAAGATTAATGCATTAACCAGAAACATTCCACGTAAACATCTTTTGTTATATGTTTAAAGATCAAAGTATGCTGTTTATCAGAAGACTTGCATGGAATCTGAGCCCGCAGAATTCCATGGAAAACTTCACAGAATATATCGTTAACAACACTTGTGTGTTTGTTTATTAAGTGTTTTGATTGCTAATGCTCTCTGCTAACAAACAATAGTGTCATTACTCAGTTTTAGCTAATAATAGTCCACAGAATCCCCAAAATCAGTGCATTAACCAGGAAAAATAGATTCTATGTGGGCATATTTATCAGTTATTATACTGACCACTTATAGAAAGTGTATAGTGAACTCAGGGATCTTGTGTAGAAAAGATACCCTGCATACCAGACGTTACATTTTGTATATTATATATCAACAATGTAAATATATTTTTAGATTAAAGCATACTTTATACACTTGGCCTTGTATTGAGTGTTGGTGTTATTTCTGGTTTGGAATCCCATATGTGCTTGCACAGAAAAGTCTGCAGGAAAACAAAGTATACAAACACACACAAGTCACATGTACAGAAGATTATGCTTTACACACAGGATAGAAGCCACAGCATCTGATTCTGGTTATAAGTGTGTGGTTTTGAAGGAGAGTTTGTGAATTAATGGGAAGGTTATTATGACAGCACAGATGATATTTGGAAAGCAGATTGGAAAAAGAGGTTCATGAACAAAAGTGGTCAACCATATTTTTTCTTTAAATATAATAAAATAAATGGGGAAAAAATGAAAATAAATAAAAGCACAGAGAGAGATACATTATTGGCTTAATTAGCAGGATTTTAGACAGCCATATGTTGTTACATTTATTTCTGAATTATTACCAACAATTATGAATTATTAATGTCTGGTGCTCTGAAATTACAGTTCAGCCTTTAAGTTCTATCTCTTTAAAAGAGACTTGCTGATGATAATCCGCTCTGCAAAACTAACGGAATGCATAGTTGATATAAAAAAAACTGGATGACTAGTAATTTCTTACTGCTAAATTCTGAAAAAAAAAAAACAGAGGTGTTAATAATAGGGCCTAAAACCTCCGCATGTAATGACCTAGAACACTGTTTAACACACGATGGTTGCTCTGTCAGTTTTTATCATCAGTTACGTAGGAACGTAGGTGTGCTATTTGATAGCGATCTTCCCTTCAAAAGCCACATTTCTAGCATTTGTAAAACCACATTATCATGCGTTCATGACCTCAAGGATAGATTATTGTAATGCTTTATTGGGTGGTTGTTCTGCATGCTTAATAAACAAACTCCAGCTGGTCCAAAATGCAGCAGCTAGAGTTCTTACTAGAACCAGGAAGTATGACCATATTAGCCCGGTTCCGTCAACACTGCACTGGCTCCATATTAAACATTGTATAGATTTCAAAATCTTGCTAATTACTTATAAAGCTCTGCATGGTTTAGCTCCTGAGTACTTGAGTGAGCTCTTATTGCATTACAGTCCTTCATGCCCGCTGCATTCTCAAAACTCTGGCCATTTGATAATACCTAACAGCAAAATCAACTGCGGGTGGCAGATCCTTTTACGATTTAGTGGCCAAACTCTAGAACAATCTACCTAACTTTGTTCGGGAGGCAGACACAGTCTGTCAGTTTAAATCTAGATTAAAGACCCATCTCTTTAACCTGGCTTACACATAACACACTAACACATTTATATTATTGAAATCCATTAAAGGATTGTTAAAGGGTTAGTTCACCCCAAATGAGTTACCTCTTCCTCCATTTTGGAGAGTACCCAAGAGCGTAATCGACGGAATCTGTGTTGTTTACGTTCGGAGGAGAAAACGTGTGCATGAACGTAATCTGCGTAATCAGCGTTGTTTATGCTTAGGGGAAAGCGTGCATATGTGTTGTGATACTCTAAAATGGCGGAAGACGTAACTCGGGGGAGAAGAATTGTTGAATAAATTGTTATTTTTGTTTTCTTTGCGCTCAAAAAGTATTCTCGCAGCTTCGCAAAACTGAAGTTGAGCCACTGATGTCACATGGACTGTTTTACCGATGTCCTTACTCCATTTCTGGACCTGGGAACATTACAGTTGTGTTGCTGTCTATGCAGGGTCTGAGAGCTCTCACATTTCATCAAAAATATCTTAATTTGTGTTCCGAAGATGAACGAAGGTCTTACGGGTTTGGAACGACATGAGGGTCAGTAATTAATGACAGAATTTTCATTTTTGGGTGAACTATCCCTTTAAGATGCATTAATTAGGTCAACCGGAACCAGGAACCAGTCCAGATGGTGTAGCAGCACTTAAGAGACAACCCCTAAAGCCCTGAATGTCAGTGGAGATGATGTCAACTAGATGTGCCCCAGAGACAGATCCCCAGCGAAGACCACGTCACCTAGATGGCCATCGGGACAAGACGGTCATATGATGTTGCTAAAAAGAACATTATGTTGTGTATTTGGTGTAATGCAATGTGTTTATGCGGTTTAAGGTTCATAAAACACTTTATTTTCCATATAATGTACATTATTGCTTCTCCTCTATGCCCCGCCTTTCTGCAAACCATTACAAACGAGGCATGGTGTGGTTGACTCTTAACTTTTATAAAGAATATCTCTTTGGATTTGAGACTTTATAAAGCTAACTTTAGCGGAAAAATGGAGACTAATAAACCTCTACTTGGAGTCGGCTACTTGGAGCAAACGGTAAAGCTGGAATTGCGACATTTTCACTTGTAAATAGGGGAAAAATAATGAAATAAATTAAACAAGATTAAACAAATTAAACAAGATTTTTGAAATTAACTGACTGCTCCTTTATCACTGCTTTCTTAAGACATTATGAAATAATTATTCCTGTTCCACTCCTGAATCTGACAGTGAGACCCTCCAGTAAGTTTGGAAGCCATCTGATTTTTTATTTTTTTTTATTGAGACATTTCAATCTGTTTTTAAGGAAAATACTTTTTAGAAGTCTTCAAGTGCCTTACATTAAGTCAAGTCAAGTAACCTTTATTTCTATAGCGATTTGTAAAGCAGCTTCAAGCTGCAAAGCATTGCTAAAAGACAATACTGTAATTATTTAGCTCTAATGTAACTTCTATGTTGCCCTATTCGGGGGTCTGTGGCTTTTATCACAGTCAAATATACAACCACCACCCAAAAATAAATAAGTAAGTAATTAAGTAAGTAAATAAGTAAATATATATATTTACTTACTTACTTATTTATTTTATATATATATATATATTGGTGGGGACCCCCCATAAGATTTGATTCAATACGAGCACTGAAACTGATTATTTATTTTCAATGTGAATGTCTCGGTAAAGCATCATTTGTTTGTTTGGTACATTTCACTGCAGATTCTTTGGTAAATCAGTCACAATTCAGTTTAAGCTTTGCTTGACTTTTACTGTAAGATATGGATCTGACAGCAATGCCACAACATTTACTGTAAGCAACAGTACAGCTGCCACGGTATACTAACCTTTTTATAATCGTCTGACAAACTGTAACTGAATTCAATACGCTTTACTGTTTAACACAACAAACGGCCAAGCAAGCGCACAAAACTGACAAGGTGCGCAATACAGCATGAGACCAAGTAAACAAAACAACCATTTCCTAGCAACGACAACTGAGCTAAAAACTAATGAGACAAGAAATAAATACACTTACAGTACACACTGCTTTCAACTTCCTGATTGACTGCTTCTCTCAAGGAGTACCGGGTCATTCCATGTCAAATCAACCAAATCTCAGAAACTTCCCCGGCTCAAATTTCTAATTTTGTCAATTTTTTTTTTTTTCTGAAGAAAGATAAACATGTATAGTGATGAAAGCCAAAATATTAAATGTCATGGATGTATATTTTCTGTTTAATCCACTATTTTGTAGCGGGGGGGGGCAAAATGATTCAAAGATTGCTAAAGTCAACAGATTTTACTAATAGATCTACCAATCTCTGTGTAAAAATAACAATGATGTTGCCATCTTTCTAAAGTCATTTTTACCCTCCTGTAATCTGGCTCCGAATCTCAGGTGAAAATTGTCATTTTGACCCCCCCCCCGGGGACCTCTGGTTTATTTGACTCGGAATTACCCTATTTCTTTAGACCGTTCAAGTTTTTTTTCTGGTGCTTGAACACGCTTTACTGTTTAACACAAAAAAGGGCCAAGCAAGCACATTAAACTGGCAAGGTACACGATACAGCACGAGACCAAATGCAACTTCAGCATGTCTCACAATTTCTGACATATAATGATCCATGTACAGTTTAGCCACTCTTTGTCTCAAAATCATTTATCCTTTATAACGATAATGGCTGTCAATGGCTACTCATCTATGCAACTTTTCATGCGATGGGAGTGATCTAAATATAATGCTATAATCAACAATTTTTAGTTTATCTCGACAGCTGTTATAGTGAAAATGCAGTAACAGTTTTCAAAAGAGTTCCACATATAATGCTCATTTCATTTGCAAACATGTTACCCAGTCATAGCAGTGGACTTCATATTGTCTTCAAGGAGACATGACCTTTTAAATAGGGCATTCAAATCAGAATCAGAGGGCTAAAATCAGAGTGTTAGAATCATAAAATGTTCAGTCAATGTACTGTTAGGAGTAACTGAATAACTCGGGATATTGCTTTATTTTGCGTCAGAGGAAGTGTCAGGCACGTTTATAAACCTTAATAACTGAAGTAATTTTTGGATTAGTGCGTACTGGAGACGCGAACCGTTTCAAACGATTCTCTTAACTTTTATAAAGAATATCTCTTTGGATTTGAGACTTTAGTCTTTGCAACTTTACAGATCTTCTTTATGCACCAAGAGCTTGTAACACTCCAAACAGAAAGGCAAAATTGAAATCGCATCATATGACCCCTTTAATAAATTATGACATTTTTTTATGTAAAAATCCTACTAACATTATAAGTGCACCTCAGGAAATTTGATAAAATTATATATTTAAAAAATATAAGTTCAATAAGCAATTTAGATATGGCATCTGCTTAACACCAGGAATCCAATATGAGTAAGCTCAGAGTACACCAAGACATTTATATAGTCATCTATAAAGAACACAGTTGTAAATAGAGTGTATACAAAGTATACAGTATGTATAATGAATACATGCTAATCCACCAACAAAATCTGGTCTTAATGCATGTGAATACAAACACGCTGCATAAACAAACTACACACATTTTTACAAGTAAATGCGTTCTGTTTGGGCATCTCATTATATCTGCATACTGCAAAGTGTGCCGAGGAAAACCAAAGGAACTAGAAGCATTCTTTCATTTAAACAACAACTACCCTTCTAGCCAGAAGACATGAAAACCAAAAGGTCTTATAAATAAAACAACACTTGATTTTAGTGGAAAAACAAACCTGAAATATGCAACAAGGTTGGACTGCAGTTAAGTGTACTTTCCGAAGGCTCTTAGATGAAATGTGAAGTGTTTGGCCATTGACTGTCATTGCACTGTCTATGATTAACTGTTTGAAATTCATTCCACATGTCTCAACAATAAAGATATGTTTAGCAGTCCCCAGAACTGATGGTGGTTTATGGTAGTAGCGAAAAACACCATCTGTGCCTCTCAAAAAAAAAAAACGGAGATATGGAGCTCTTACACACGACAGGCTCATCTTGTAACCAAATGATTTGGATTTGTCACACTTATAATTTACCCTTTGTACTGATGATGAATTTGTACATCTGTGCGGGTTAAAATAGGAAAGAGATAGCACTGGAATTTCCACTGCTCAAGGACCCAAAGATCACATACTGTACGCTGATGACAGTATTTTAAAACTCCTCAGAGACACACAAAACAACTTTGGTGACAAGTCAGATCAAACAAAAAAGATCTCACAACTTGTCACCATTCATATCTGAAGATATTTTTCTCTTATAACTTTGAACCGACCACCCGTAAACTTCACCATCCAAAACATTTGGTATGTGATATGTGTTTGCAAATCATATTTCTGTGAAACAGGATTTACTGTACGAGGTAACAAAATAATATGGTTTCATGTGATACCGGGGCTTCAAACTGGCAAACTGTTACATGCAATAGTAGTGCTGATGCACAGACATTCATAAACTAAACTTTTTTTTTTTTTTTAGTTGACATCAAACATTTGCTAGCCATTTTACTTCCGCGTTCAGTTTTCATAGAAATACAAATGAGTTTACAGTTCTAAGATTAACTCAATTAACAATGATTTTAACTATCAAGATTTGATTGCATTGTAAAATGTCATATATTTCCATTTCTAGACATAAATAAAATAATGTATAATTGGTCATTTATTTTTTCACCCCATAGTAGTAGTAATAATAATAATAATAATAATAATAACAATAATAATAATAAAGTTAGTTAATTTAAAAAGTATAAATTAATACCTTAATACCGTATGTTTCAAAACAAAACTTTACAAAACATTTTGTTAATTAAATATTACATAGTGGAATAATGTGCACCAAAAAATCATTCACAATAAAAAAAAATGCATATTAAGAAAGTTAAGCAGGTCAGTTTTGGTTCATGTCAACTTCAAACACTCATTACCATAATAATAAAATGTTGTAAAGATTTGAGATTTGCTGAAGCCGTTTAAAGCCAGTTCAGACTTTATGGAGTTAATTTGGTGTGATGATGCAGAGAACAACAGGCCTTTGGTCCTTTGTCATGCTTTGAGGATGCTTAATTCAGAAGGCCTCGAAACCACAAAGGCCCACAGCTAGAACCATCTGGAATGTTCTACAGGGGACAGTTTCTAAGAGACAAATACCAAAGCAACTCTAAACATCCCATACAGATTGAAAAACAACCTTGAGCATTGTAAACAGGATGAAATGCAGGTTTAAACCCTGATCATTGATGTTATCTCACCGCAATAAATGGTAAAACTGCCTTTCATCACATAAAGATTGTTTTTAATCTTTGTATCGTGCAACTGCTGTTCCACACGTCAACAAAATGCAATTACGCATGCCTGCGGTCAGCTTTCCAAAAAATATAAATGAAAATGAAAGCAAGAGAGGGTGAGTTTACAGCTCTTATGGTAGACTGTTCATTTCAGCTTCTTATTTTTGAAAATGACTCAAAGATGACTCATGATGATTCAGTTTTCAAGTGGAAAATGAGGCTTTTACCAAATTATGTTAGCCTGCGTCATTTGCAATGGGAAAAAACTTCAAAATGCTTTCAGAATCTTGTCAAAGGCAGGAAGAAATGATAGCGAGCTTATCCTCGCAACTCAGTTCTAGGTCTGTGAAGCTGAAGGCGGGAACTTCGACTAATTGGTCTGTTTCTGCTTTGCCACCCGTTGTGATCGCTTTGAGTTCCCCAAGTCTGTGTTTATCGTTCACAGATTCTGCATAGCTGGTTTGTGTAAACATCTTAAATGGTTTTTAAATGTCATGCCAGTCATCGAGAAGATTTGGACGAACGGGGTCGTTTTATGGGATGAATCATTCTAGTGATATATTTCTTTATGTCTTTGTGGTAAGATATTGGTTAAAACACTAAGGCTATGAAAACTAAACTCCCGCTGTTCAGTTTTCCTTTTAATGTGTTTAGTCTCCACAGGAGTAAAACCCTAAAAATCACAATTTATTTTCTTGACAACAAACAAAATATTTCCTCTCCACTCCTACTTTCAATCTCGTACTGTGACATTCACACGCTTACCGCTGCTCCACCACTTTTTGCCATTAATGATAAAATGGTCTTTGTCTTTGTGAAGGGTGCACTCCATGTTTGTGGCATCACTTGAAGCAACATCCGGCTCTAGAATAGAGAAAAACAGACAGAGTACTAGGATCAGTGATGAAAATCATTTTAGAAAAAAAGCAGTCAATGAATTTTAAAAATAACAATATTTATTTTTCCTTTTCTTTATTGTGGACACTATTGTCATTGATCCACAAACAAACATTACCACTGTAGTCTGGTTCATGAACAAATGGCTAACATGAGGAAGTCTTTTTAATCAACTGGTCAAAAAGACTGAAACTCACAAATTACTTATTGAATATCTATATGACAATATGTTATTGAAGATTCACAAAAGAGTACTTCTTTGCTACTAAGTGTACTAAATGGCCAAGGTCGGCTTATTGGCCCACTAGGGGGGGGGCTCAAAATTTATTTAAAAGATTTAAAAGTAGACGAAAAAAAAAAAAAATCAAGAACTTTATTTATTTTAATTCACCCCCTCAACCATCTTGGAAAACCTGGATATATGAGGGACTTCTAGAAAAATTATGTAAATTTTTAAGATCCTAAAATCCAATGCCATTTTTATAATGAATATGTATTTTGTCTAGTTAAGCCAAGCTCTAAAACATTTTATCATGTCTTTGTAAATTGAAGGGGGGGGGGCTTTAAGTGTTTTTGTGGACAATAAGGGAACCTTGGAGACAAAAAGACTGGGAACCACTGCACTAGAGGATAATATCTGGTGGTTAACAACAGAGTGACAAAACATAAACAGAGAGACTGGCTGTCAAGGTGGAAATGATAACCTAGTGTAGATATTTTATATGACATGTGATATTTGTTACACAATCATGAATAAGAATTACAGCTATTGACTGTAGTATGACAGCTAAAACGACACACATGCACACACACAGGGAGAAATAATGGGGAAAATTGTCATACATCAACACATCTGAAAACTCTGGGGGCATTACAGCACCATCTGTATATGTTGAGAAACTTGATGCCTCTTTAATCACTATTACACATGTGCTCACACAATCTATAGTCATCTTTTGGCTTGCTCAATTAGCAAAAGAATCAAAATCACTGTTGATCTAATCGACCAACTATTTTTCTCCTTGTTTACTCATTGAACACAGATCTCATTATCAACTTAATTATAAATCCTCCTTTTAAGTCAAGTGAGTACTAATGAACACAATGTCTAATGTCACATTAGAGAGGCTTGAGTTTGTCCAAGTTTTAAAACTGTGTCTAGACAACTATGTTCTGTTCCAATATGTTACGCTCTGTCCAGCTGTTTAATGAATATGAAAACATCCCAAAGACATATGTCCACCAAAGCAACATGTCCAATCGGATCTACGAACCTGAAACCAGCCTAATTATACAAGGTTTTCTTTAGACTGAATAGTCAATTAATAAATTTTACACATTACCTGTCATACAGAAGCATGATCGTATGTCTCCTCTTAGTAACGGCTCCAGCCAGAGCCTCTTCTGTTCCTCAGTGCCAAACAGGTGCAGAACTTCCATATTGCCTGTGTCTGTTAGAGAGTTACACAATGAAATCAAAATTGAGAATTCTTATATTTTTCTGGAATGTTGCAGCGTTTGTTATAAATGGTTTATTTGTGCACATCATCATTTTAATTACTCTCATAATAATGAACGTCCTATATGCAGTCAGGCGGGTCAATAATCCCTTCCCTCCAACAACCTGTCACTCACATGAAATTGCAGCAATCAGCAAATCAAAACGATTCAAAGATCAAATCCCGATGGACAAATTCAAGTCCTGCCCTACTTTTTTTTTTTCCGAGAAGCCGTTTCACTCTGCCATGTCACATAAGGGAAAAATTTTACATATAAGAAGAAGAAGAATTTTACATATTAGTGCTATTTAAACCATTCATACTTTCTATACAATGCTGACGTGTAAAACTTGACAAATCCTACTGCATATACAGATGTAGTGTTGATAACGATTTTTTGTTGTAAACATTAGTATTTCTACATAACACAAACTCATGACATATAACTTACAATAAATATGGCAGAATCACATTCTCTAAAAAAAAACGAATTTTCAGTAATTATAGTTGTAAATCTGCGTATAATTCATGTTGTTTTATCATTCTGCAGTATAAAACCCTAAGTATGAGTGTACCTTAAAGCCATAATCTAAAAGCTCCATAAAAACAGTAACATTTCTGACTTATGAAGAAACACACACCCACCTGGGGCCTGGCAGTTGAAGACTTCGGGGGAGTAGAAGCAGTGTCCGGTCTCCTCTGCGATATGAGCATAATCCAGCTGAGAGAGGCCACTCTCAGCCGGAAGAAACAAATTCCACAGGCCTGCAGCTCGAGCTTTTGCCTGCTCACAAGGACTTCATTAATACATACAAAGAACATCCTCCCAAATACAGTTCAATCAGATGCATTATTGTCTGTTCAAGTTTTGAGTTTGAATAATTTTCTTACATTTTGTTCACCAAGACTAATTTATTTAAAAACACAGTAAAAATGTGAATAATGTGAAATTGTATCATTATTTAAAATAACTGTTTTTCATGTTTAATTTATTTTAATATTTTTGTGGAAACCATGAGTTCTTTCAGGATAAATATTAAATTCAAAACAACATTTATTTGAAATAAAAATAGAAATCACTTTTGATCAACTTAAGGAATCCTTGATGAAAAACTAGTAATTCATTTATTTAACTATTTTAAATCTTACTAATATGACATGATATGATGGTACTATATGTAAATAATGCATGATTGTATGTATCATCACCTTCAACTCCTCTATCACAGCAGGTGTGTGCCATCTCTCAGGTGTGTCTTTGTGCTTGGCGTAGTACTCTTTTACTTCCTAAAAACATAATGAAAT